GTCAATGGAGAAATATAAAGGGACAAACACAATCTGTTTCTGCACTAGATGGAGATGAATGGGGCATAATCCATTGCCTACCCATCACACCTACCCAGCCTGCTCCCCGCTTAACCGCAACGATGATTAATCCTACACCCACTATTTATATTTCCTAATTGTAATTAGCACGAATTATCAATTATGGTTAGTGCCTAATTGCCCTTCATAAAGACAGCTCCCCAGGTTTAAACGGGTCCATTTAAATAATGTAACTAATAGCTCTTGCCTTTGCGTTGCGGATATATCTTCATTGTTCCACGCGTGAACCATGATGGTTGCTCGTAATTTAACAGGGCAATCGAGAGAAGGAGTGCAGGTGGCACTGTGGGACTAATTATTGTTAATGAATTATGATGTGACCTTCTCAGAACAATGGCTAATCAATGCTCCCGTTGAGTGACAGTGCACTCTGTGCAGATGCCAGGGACCACAGTGCCATTACTAGCAGGCATCAGCCCGCTGAAAACATGCGTCTGCAGCTCTTCCTGTCTTCTCTTCGTCCCTCACGGTATCTACGCTCTCTTTTACGCTGACCTCCCTGTGGCTGCTTTGCATTTCTTGTGTGGAAGAGGACAGGCCAGTCAAAATACAGCCAGTGGATTAGGCCATGAAAGTTTTCTGCACAGTTTTCCTCTGTTTTTACTTTCATGACTTTAGCTGGGTACGGTTATTAAACATATCTGACAACAACTGCCATCATGGTATATGCTACATTGAGTGTGTTCACTGGAATTTCTGGAATTCTCAGAAAGTTGCACTTTAAACATTATTTGTATTGGTTTGAATTATGCTTAAAGTTCTGTGTGGAAAACATTTCAATATAAAGAATTAGCAGTATTGTAAACTGAGTCTCGTCTTTTAGTTTCGGGAGAAGAATATTAGTTTTTCAGTTTTTCAACATTGTTTTTATCATGGCTGGGTTCGGCAAGAAGTGCATCAATACTAATGTTTAATAAACATTTTAGTTGTTTGTTTTAGAAAGGAAAAAAAAAATGTTTTAGGGGAACATTTGTGTTTTTCTGAGATGGAATACAAACAGATCCCATGCAGTTTTAAGTATTTAAAAACAACTGAATATCGCAAGCAAATAAATATATTTTTTCCTGCTATAAAGAGGATTTTCACTTATAAATGTATTGAAAGAAATGCAGTAAACTTTGAACTAAACATTCCTGAAAGTTTGCTCCCTTTGCCGTCATGACCACAGTACAGTGCTGGTTGTTAGTTGACTACATCAGCGTTTGAACTGACCTTTACCTTGTTGTGACAGGGGCGCAGTATGACTGACAGTGTCCCTCAGCATAATTTACCCCCGCCCCACATCGCCCTCCATCTCCTCTGCGATGCAGTTGACCCCTTTACAAATCACCCCCAACTTTACACATCTGCTGCCTGTCAGCATCTGCCAGGCGCACTCACCCGTCCCGCCCATAATGAAAAACTCTCATTACTCGCCTCCACCCAACAGGTATACAGGCCGTTAGGACAATTACTGGGCAATGCCACTGACCTTGTTGTTGGAGAGAGTCAAACCAACACAGGTCCCACTGAAAGGAAGCCTGGTAGCACAACTGTAGGCATGCAGTGCAGACGGGAAACTGGGCAAAATGTGTGAACGCTTCATGCCTGTTAAGGAAGATTGCACTGTACTTACTGACAGTTAAATGCTGACTGTCTATGAGTGCTGATAAAGTAGAAACATAGGAAGTAGCTTGAAGGTAGTGGTGCATGTTAGACAAAGCAAATCTCCCAATATTGGCATAGACTGAGCTTGATTTAATGTCAGCAAAGTGTGAAAATAAAACTAAAGGATAGCATGATTTGAAATACATCAGTTATTATCTTTTAGTATAGTCTTTATCTTTTGTCCAAAGAACATTGATCAGGTGCATGAGCTGCATCTAAGATTAGCAAATTAGCTGCCAGAAATGTCATTAAAGGTGGAGTATGAGAAACCAGCTCGAGTGTGCTATAATTTGAAAGTACACAACCGGAAAAAATCTCCCTCTTCCTTCAGACTTCCTTACAGAGCCCCTCCTCCAACACATGAACGCGCACATGACCAATGAGGGCACGAGATAAGTTTGTGCACAGATGGAAGGCTGACAGGCAGGTAGGCCATCCAGTTATTTTAGCCGGGCCGACTCAGGTGATTGGTCGTGCTTTTTACAGCGCCACAGCTTCCACAGATGAACTTTTTTAATGTATTTATTGTCAAAGCATTTAATATATTCATTGCTAACGGGATGTTAAGAGCATTCCATGGAATATAACAAAAAGTGTTTCTGAAATAAATTACATACCCCACCTTTAACCTCTGATTATATATATTAACCAAATGCGGATTATCTCGAAAGGATCTGGATTAAGAATACAAAAATTAATACAGGAAAAACAAGGTTTCTGCAAGTTGATACTCATAGCATACTGAAACCAATGGAAACAGACAGGAAGATAGAAAATCTATCTAGTTTGGTACGTTTTTAGAACTGCCAAAATGTAGCCTTGTGTGATAAGACAAGCAAAGCCATTAGTACGTTCTTCGGAGATGAACACAAAACACAACAACTACAACGTAAAGGAATTTGGCAGGAAGGATCTAACGGCCTCACCTAATGATTCACCGGACACTTGCCGGCCTTTTGTTTGAGTCCCACTTTACAGGAGAGTCAGAGACGCTGGAGGACTTTAGGGAAAACAAAAGATACTACAGTCTGTGAGTGGAGCCTCAGTTTAGACAAATTATCTGACGTTTAGCAGACTGGGGGCAGCCTATCCATGAGGTGATGACTTTATTGACCCTTGAGGGGGGTCTTGGATGGAAGTGTGTCTCTTGGGCTCCCTGCGGTGGACCTCTCCTCCTCTGAAGTTTTGTTCTGGCCCGTACAGACTCAGATGCTGTTCCCGCTCTCTGAAGTCTACCTGAGGGCCTCTTTGTCCTCGGGGCTCGTCCCTTTGTTCCGCCGACCCACACAAACAGATGTCCAGCCACTGGGCTTTCTCGTAGGAAGTTGTAAACCTCCAGTGTGCAGCGGGCTCCATTCATATGGAGGGTCTACAGTAATGGCCGTGCAAGTGCCATACACATGCAAATGCAGACACGCAGACACCCTGTAGGGGCGGCTTTAACAAATGTTTGACTATGTAACTACTGCAGAGCAAGCCGGTGCACCAGACTATGACTGGGTAGCAATGAAACCTCCATGCAGCAGAGTAATCACCCTGAACTGTATAAGTGACACAGGAAATTGTGTAGGGAGGAATTTGAGAGTGTGTGTAAACATGATCGGATCCCCCATGTCACCGACACCAGACAGAATTACAGACAGAGAAACAGCATCTGTCTCATCCCCACAATGTGGACCTCACAGGCTTCGATAGTAAAATATGTTGACAGTTACATGTTAAAACAAATGGAAAATTGTATTTTTTTACCACCAGTTGAAGCCTATTCTAATCCCTACAACATACTAATATTAAATTATAGGAAAAGATTCACTGCAAAGTAGTAGGTTGTTGTAGGGATGAGCAGTTAAAGGACACTTCTGTGCTGTTGCAGTTACTCGTTCAATTTCCAGAAAGCCTGTCTGTAGCCATCAGGCTTTATCTGTATTGGACACCTGCTGAGAATATTGATCCTGTGCTGGTTTCACCATTTTAGCCATCACCAGGCATCAAGCTTTAAACAACCCTATGTCACTTTATTGAATACTAATAGCAAAGAGTAGGGGGCCGACTGATTGTGAATATCAATCTATCACCTTAGGTGAGAAAACTATCAGCCGTATTTATTGTACGGCCACAGTTTAGCTTTGTATGCTTTAAATAAGCATCTGATTCATTGTGGATGCTTTTAGTCTGTTAAAAAAAACACATCCTTATTTAGTTCTATTTAAAAAAACACATCAATACAGTCATTTTGTGAAGATTGGCAATAATGCAAGCAAATGAAGTATAAACTATTTTTTTTATTTTCAGTTTTTGAAATGTTTGAAACTTGCTGCAGTGTGGTGATAGTGGAATAATACAGGAAACGCAGTACTGGGAATGTCATCAGTGTGTCCGGACCAGGAAAAAAATGAAAAAGGTATTCAATTAATAACAAGAAACCCAAATGAGCTATATTCTAAGCTATAACCATTAGTTACCATCAGTATATCCAATTATAAGTCAATTTAAGCTGTCATAGCCTCCTGTTGTTAATGAAATACAATATCTTCATGATGCATGCTGGAAAGAATAATCATTTATTGTATCCTGAATTGTATTAACAACTATTATACGTAAATATCAAAGTGGTCTTTCTTTTCCACAATTGCATAATTACTGATGTATGTGCTTTATGGATCTAATAAGAATAATGTTAAAGTATAAATAGCGCAGGATATCAATGTGTTTTACATTTTATCATTACAAGTTTTTATTTGCACCGATTGGAGTCGAGGCTCTCTGGGTTTATTTGCTTAAACCGTTTGGTTTCGATTAGGATATTCTTTCTCTAGGGACACAAAATCTCCTCTCTGACAGTAACGTCTCTAAAAGAGTCAAATTTAGGGAGAAAGGACGATCTCTGATATGGATCAAGTGCCATCTGTGCCCAATTTACTTTCAGGTCGCGGATTATTGAATTTAATGATATGGGTGATTATCGACGAATGCTTTGAGCCCATTAGGCGGTCGTGTGAAACACTAATAGTGTTTGTGTCACGTGTCTGGGTGAGAGACGGGGGGGACAGACGCTTTAAAGACCGAGCTCCGGTCATCTCATTCACGCTGAAGACTGACAGACAGGAGCAGAGGAGCAAGGTACACACACACCTGCGAGGAATCATCAGCAGTAATCCAGTTTGATGAAGCTTGGTGACGAGAAGGAGGATACAGTATGAGAAGTTCCTCTCCACACGCGTAATCACGCATGTCAGTCCTTTCCTTCCTTTAACGCTGTTTCTATCTAAAGGATGCTGGACCCCAAAGACTGTGGAGTGACAATGACGTCCAGTCATAAGATTTCTTTTTCTATTGTTGATATATTGGATCCAAACAAATTCAACAGCAAAAGAGGAAACGAACTTTCCATCGTGAAGGAGTTTCCTGTGCCACATGAAGAGGGAACAAGTTTGGAGTCGGACGGTGACGCAGGCGGAGACTTCAGAGTTGAGCGCACACAAGCAGGTAGAGAAAAAACATTAAAAAATATTACTTCTGTATTTCAAACGTTTTCTTGTCATATTTATATCTGTTTTTTATTTATTGCGTATGACATTCATTTAAAAACCTACCGAAAGTCGTCCTCGAAACCAGTAAAATAAGCGCAAAAAATTAAAATATATTTCCAATAAACTTTTTCTGCTCTATACCTAAATTAAACACCATCAAGTGAGATGCTATTTTCTATCAGATGTATTGTCATCTCTGTATGACCTTCCCTTAATTTCCAAGGCTGCGTTTCCTTTCAAGGAAGCCACAAAGGCTCGCTCCCAGAGCCCCTGCGTGTGATTGGCACTGGGACAGGCAGGCTAGATAATTGTTTAAATCGTCCCATTGAGGATGCCTCTGCGCGCTTTGATCGATATCCCATTACTGCATCCTGCATATCTCCCTCCAGCACCTTGCAGGTACAAACTTCACACCCCATCCATGTCTGATCCTAAATATCGTTCGATTAAAACTTCCCTTTAAATAGATGACATTTATCGATCCACCCGCAAATATGAAACTCCATTAGCACGTCACGGCTGAGGTGGCGGAGCTGGATTTAGACGGGATTTATTTCCGCAACATGACATTTGAGGCGCTGTGTGGTTTATAAATTATTGAAGGGTTAGTGACCAAGTCTCCCCCTCTCCTGTGATTCTATGCTCCGTTCCGCACCACAGACTTCAGGATACAAATCAAACGCTTTACAGATGTAAACTTCAGGTCTTCTGTGTGGGCTTTTTAAACTGCGCTTCAGACGGGACAAAGAGGGACATTTTTGCACCATGAGGATACTTTTTTTAAGCACGCGTTAGGCATCAGCTTTGAGATTTGGCACGTGACTTTCTGTCTTGTCAGGAGCTGTCCTTTCAGCACTGTACAATTTGACCAGGATTAGGATAACACTTTAAAAACACATAAAATAGTTAACTTGTTTTGGTTTGTATTGGACTTTTGTGCAGAAAGTAAAATGTATGGTTTAATCACCTCAACAATTCTGTTAACTCAATCAGGTACATTTTAAACAACCAGGTCCAACACTGTTGTTTTAATGAAAGCATTGTATGTATTTTGTGCCTGAAAGAGATTTTTGAAAATGTAACACAAATTGAAGATTTTCTACACTTTCACTCTTCAACAGTTTACATGAAAAATAAACCAGTATTATATCACTTGAATATATATGCTGTGTTATCCATTAGATGCTTCATTTGCTGCGTTTTGAATGATATGGGCTAACTTTTTATCTTTTTTTACAGAGGAAGAGATAGACTCTGCATCCCCCAGGCGTCATGGTGGTGTTGATAACTCTCTTCTGCTCTCCCCTCCGGCTGAATCAGAGTCCTGTCTCCCCGGGGAAGAGGACGATGGGGAGTCAGGGGCCGCCCAGCAGGATCCCTCCCTGCACAAGCGGCAGCGAAAGGACCAGACCTGCGCCAAACCACGGAGAGCCAGAACAGCGTTCACATACGAGCAGCTGGTGGCTCTGGAGAACAAGTTCCGCACAACCCGGTACCTGTCTGTGTGCGAGAGACTAAACCTGGCTCTATCTCTGAGTCTGACCGAAACCCAGGTGAAAATCTGGTTTCAGAACAGGAGGACCAAATGGAAAAAGCAGAACCCCGGGGCGGACAGCAGCACCTTACAGCCCGGCTCCAACTCCCTGGTCAACCTCAGTCCAAACCTGACCCCCTGTGGAGCAGGCCCCGCCAGTTTCCACCAAACTTTCCCCAACTTCAGTGCTGGGAATGTGATCTTCCACACGGCCGGCGGTGTTCCACTTTCATCCACTGGAGGGCTCTTGCATCCCTTCATGACCAGTGGTTTCGTCCAGCCCACTTATTATAACCCACATCTATGAGAGAAGCCAAGACTGACTGCAGCTGATCAAACTGTCGGGCAAATCTTTAAAAGCTGAACTTTTACCGCCCAGAATTATTGTAACTGTTGCATAAATACCATCATCTTCTACAAACTGAGGAGAAAAGGGGTCACCTGTTTGTCACAGGTTTGGTCATGTTCAATAACAAATTGCAACACCATTTAAAGGAAATTAAAATGTCTTCATGATATTTCGAGTAGGGTGTTGACTGTTTTATTTTGTCATGGACCTTATACAGGACATCAAAACAAAATGCCATATCTGTGAGTTTTAAAGACTGCCAGGACTGCACCACTATGTGTTGATTGTTGGTCGTTGTGTATTTGACAGCTCATACAGTATGATTTTCTTCATCTGTGTACTGTCCAACATCTCTTACTGTGGCATTGCATTCATCCAAACACAGCTTTGTGTCTTCCTCTCAAAGGCTTGCAGCTCTGTTGCCATTCATACAACGTTATCAGTGTAACTTAATTAAAAAAACTAACGCATACTACATCTGTGTCCGGCTTGTGCATTAGAAAGTTAAAACACTTCATATGTGAATGAATTGTAGGACATTTTGCACACCCGTTTACATTAATTTGGTAAAACCTGACACCAGTGATGGGTTTGTGGTAGATCATGTGCATAACCCTCCTGTTATCCTCACATTTACTTTACACCCTTTATCCTCTGGGGTCAATTTGACCCCAGTAGTTTAAAACTCAATGATCATATTCCAAATGTTAACCAACATGTATGTCTCTCGTGCTTTAGTTATCTTAGTTGACTACCTAAATAACCATTTAAATAAAAACATTACCCCAACCTTCCCCCCCACAGACCCCTTTATACATCCAGAATTCCTATTATGTGACTATAGAAAAATATATAAATCACCATAAAATCTCACTGACTGAAATCAAATGTTAAAGTAAGATCTTTTTGATGTTGTTAAAGGACCTAAAGCAGAGGGTAGTTTTGTTTTACAATGATACATTTGCATGTAATAGTCACCTCAATATCATCCTACACAATCAACACAAATATGTGTAAAATATTGACATTTGTATATGTTTTATACTACTAAAACAGCCTGGGGTCAAATTGACCCCAAGGAACACCGATGCGTACAAAGTGCGTACAGGACATTTAAAAAAGATCTTCATGTTCATTTTATGTTTACCCATTAGTCCTCACTAAATTTGGAAAAGTCATGAAATATTAAGCAAAAAAGATAATGTGAACTATTTTTTTTTAGATACGTTAAACATTGAATGGGGTCAAATTGACCCCAAGGATAACAGGAGGGTTTTAAAGGGCCCAGTGGAAATTACTCTATGCTGCCATCTCCTGGACAACAAGGTGCAAGACGAGGGATCTTAATTACCTAATGACTTGGTACCTCATGAGATAACACACACTCACATTTTAAATTATGTATCTATACACTCTTGGAAATAAATTATTCATTATTTTCATATGTTTTTGTTTAAAAGATATGAGTTCATTAAATATGCTGCATCGTTAGCAATTTAACTTCAAATAATAGAATAAAACTAATTGACTTTATTTATAGAAAATAAATACGTTACTCATACTTTATCAGTCCAGCAATTAACCATTACTTTTGTTTTGCCAGGTTGTGTCAAATCCTCCTCCAGCAGCACATGCTTTGTCTTTTTGAATTTGTTGCTCTCAAACCTGCAACAATTGTATGGTTTGGCCACTTGAGGGCAGCATAGATTTGAACATGGCATTTAAATGTAACAACCTTTTAAGGATGGAGAAGTCAAAGCTTGAGTAATTGAAGAGCAGAAAGTGCTTATACTGATTCTTCAACCTCCAATTACATAATACGATCACACAGTGTCCTCCCTTTCTTTATTTATCTATAATCTCAATTTAAATGTAGAACCTAGTGAAAGAAAATACTATTTATTGGAATGTAGGATAATAATGATCATGTACAGAACATATTCATACTTTTTTTGTAATTTATTTCTATGATTATTAATGATTTATGTGTTGCTGTTATTTCCAAATTCCTACTTCATTAGATTATCTTTAGTAAAGTTTGATTATTCTCTACACATTCTAATTTATGTGATTTCGTGAAGCTTTTTCCTGGTGAAATAAAGTTGGTAACAGTATGTGCGTATATGAAGAAGACCTGGCACATTTATTGAAGCGCATCTTTAGGGGGGCATGTATGCACATGTATTATTTACACAGAGATAAATAGGGAAAGTAGAGCCAGACAGCCACAGTTAATTGATAATTCAATGCACTAATAGTGTAGAGTTGGCTTCTCTTACACTCTTACACTTCATTTACTTCATGTGTAGTAGGTGTGAGCATGACTGACGTATCAACCGCTGAGCTGAGAGAAGCCAGTCAGACTAAAACTCATCTGTGTGGTACTATAGCTATAAGTAGCCATGATGTGTGCAGCAGAGGACTGGGAAAGGAACACTTCCAACCCACTGCCAGGTCAGTGTCATTATTTAACATCTGTCAAGAGTGTGTTGTGCCTTCACTACTTTAATCCACAATACACTGGTTGAAGAAGAGGCCTCTGTCTGCAGGCTGTGAGTGTGCTGTGTAGGAGACAGGAGGAGAGCATACTGAGAATGGCTGGTAGACAATTTTCCCTCTGACATCACTCTGCAGTTAGAGGGCTGACAAGCATCCTTCAATTAAATGGGATTTTCTCACTGCTGTCAAAACCTGGCCAATGTCAACCTGTCACCGAGGTGCTGGTGTTAGTTTCACATACCATTGCACATGCTTCCAAACATCCACAGCACATATTCATTTAACATTTGGCGTCCTTCCATGTATTTGTTTGTGACGACTGATGCATATGAATTTTCCCTTCTTTGGTTCGGGGATATTTTTCTTTGGCCTGGCATGCAGCCGAAGATTTTGACAGTTTTGATCAATACTCTAGGAAATACGGCATAAGGAACTTATCCCCAATTTGGGCCCCAGGCATCTTGTGTATGACAATGTGATGAATCATTTTGCAAGTTATCCGAAGGGGGTCATTTAGGGGTGGGCGAATAGAGGGGATGTTTAAAATTGTATTCGAAAATGCTCTGGGACAAGGTCAAATGTTAATAGTTACAGTGCTTTCGTGTCTGTACAGTATGTGGATGTGTGTGTGCATCGGAATGGGGAGAAAATTCCAACTACAGCCCCTATTCGCTGTACTTATCTTTTCCAGAGAATGAGTAGGAGGCTTGAATAAATAAAATGGAGCTGAGTGAGGATTTCCTGGTGTGTGTTTGTGTGCGTGTGTGTGTTTGTGTGCGTGCATGTGTTTGTGTGCTATCTTCAGGCGTGGTGGTCCACAGGGACGTGCATCGTTTCCACTGAGGTTCACGGACAGAAGATGGGAAGAGCGCGGGGTGGAGTGTGGGGTAAAAAGAGATATTGGAAAACAGGTTTGGTAGAAAATTGTGGGAGTTTTTCTTTTTTTACAACGAGACACCAACCTATTCTGATTCCCTCTAATAATTAACAAAACAAACAACTATCTGAATTTAATGTATTACTCACAGTAAGTAGCACTTACTCCTTGACTCAGCATTACAATATGTGTTTATGCAGAATTTGTTAGATTATTTCTATTGATATTGATACAGTTGACACATTGTAACATTTATTTAAAATACTATAGGTGTGCCTATCCGATGAACACAACTCCAGTATTTACTCACTAGATTTATCCAAAACTCTTAACTTCAACTCAGTCTCCTTTAGCAGATTATTTTAGTTGTCATGAAAACAGCTGTTTTGTCATCACTACCTTGACAGTGACAAACTCCATCAACTGTTGAATACGCAATGATACAATGCAATACAAATCTCTGTAATAGCAAGTATTTGGATGATCAATTGTTTTCTGTTGTCAAAATCACATTTAAATCCCTCTCTCCATTTAGTTTTATTCAAAAGTATGGTTTCTATCAAAACAAATATATATCTGTATTTATTTAGAGCAACTTTAAAAGTCGGCAGTGGGTGTTCTTTGAGTTGGTTTATTTATAAGCCACAGTTGAAACAGTTCAGATATTTGCACCTACACACACCATAGTACAACTGCATATTCAAAGCTCTGTGTGTGGGCTGTACAGTTGGATTTTGTGAACTTACATTTCTAAAAAGTGCTTATCGTGCTATTCTTTATGCTGAATAAAACAGTGGGAAGCCAATTGTTCAGACAGTGGTATAATTTTAAGTTTAAATCACTCATTATCTGTAATATTTGAGTTTGATGAGAGATTAGACTCCTGAGGATTTGTACTATACATTTTGAACTGCAGCCAATTTTCTTTGAACTCCTGTATATTTTATTAGCTCTTCCCACCCCCATCACCTTTAAGAATAATGGGATATAAAAGAATAAAGTACTCGTTAAAGCCTTAACTGTAAGTATAACTGTTTATCTGTTGGAAACATTACTGTCTTGCTATTAGAAATATGCAGGCCAAGAAAGATCGAAAAGAGAGTAGAAGCTGGTCCCGAAAAGTTTTCAAACGTCCTATTTTTGTTTGAATCGTTTAAGTTTTGCTTGACATCTCTCTTATATGCTATGAATGTGAACTGCATCCTCCAGCGCTGCAGGGACCGCAGCCAAAGAAGGAGATAAAACTGATTTCTTCAGCACCAAGCGGCAGAAGGAGCCAACTTGTAATGCCGTTTTAATCAGTTGTAGAAAGTGAAAGTTGGGTTGAGGTTTAAAGGGCGGGGGGGGGGGGGGGGCGATTCCTCTGAGGT